GACCAAGAACCTCCAAAAGTGTTGAGTTTATTCTTGCAGGGCATCTGCTGCTGGGTAAACTACCCTGAAGGGCAGCTTGTTTCCCTACTGCGACCCCTTGCAGAATACGACTAGTTGTTTCATTTGCAAGTGGTTGTCAATTGGAAATAGCTTCTGGGTTAGGGGTGGGGGCACGTGTCCACTTCTTTGGGCGCAAGGACCCCATGTGGTGCAGACCCAGGCTGACCCTGTGCATGCTGCCCCGGTCCCTGTGAGTTCGTTCACATGTGCATTGATCCTGCTGTATTTAGAAGGCCTGGTGCTTCCATGATGCCCTCCTTCCCTGCTGGATCTTGCATTCTTTTCAGGCACCTCTTCCACAAGATTCCCTGGGCCCTGGGGAGAGGGATTTGATGGAAACATCCTGTTTAGGGCTAAGGGTTCCAAGGTCTCTCACTGTCTACATAATGTCTGTTGTGAATCTCTGTGTTTGTTCCCATCTGCTGCAGGAAGAAGCATCTCTGATGATGGCTGAGCAAGACACTGATCTATGGGTACAGCAGAATGTTATTAGGGGTCATTTTATTACTATGTTCCTTTAGTAGAACAGTAGTATTTGGTTTTCCCCTGGGTCCCTGGCTCAATGTACACAGGTATGTTCATATAAGTTGCCTATCAGTTTTGTAAAGCATTTATATATTTCTAATTTGGGGGGATTATAATATAATTACATCATTTCCCTGTTCCCTTTCCTCCCTCCAAACACTATCAGATACCCCTCCTTGCTCTCCTTCAAAGTGATGGTCTCTTTTTTCCTCAATTATTGTTACATTTGTGTGTGTGTGTGTGTGTGTGTGTGTGTGTGTGTGTGTGTGTGTATAGGTTGGTACTGGACTCGGCATCCACAACTCTACATTTTGATTGCTTGTAGTTTTATCTTACAATCGCCTTCATCTGTTACAAAGAGAAGTTTCTTTGATGAGGGGTAATGACTGCACTTATCTCTGGGTAATTGGACAAATGTTTAGAATATTTAGAATGTAGTTAGGAAGTATGTTTGTTTAGTAAAGTGGCAGTTATAGGTTCTCCCAGACTCATGACTTCACTAGCCCTAGGTAGTTGGCTAGGGTTCCAGTACTCAGCATGATTTCCCTCTTGTTGAGCAGGTCTTAAGTCCAATTAGAGAGTTGTTGGTTACTGCCAAGGTATGTGTGCCACTATTACATCCTTGGGGTTATTGTTCCATGATGGTTGTTGTTGTGGATGATAGGGTGAGACTGTTGGTTGCTTTTCTCCTTTGTAGGCTTGCATGATGCCTTCTAGTTCCACAAAAACTAGTCCTCAGGAAAGAGACATTTAGGTCAGTTCCAGCTGAGAGGCCTCTGGGCCCAGGGTCTGAAATGCATGGTGTCTTCAGCAATATTATATTTTTAAAGAGACTAGAGCAATTGAAACTAGGGGGAGTTAAATTAGCATATATATCCATGCTGCCACAGGGTGCAGACTTATGCAGAAGATCAGTCTACAGTAGTGGAAGGTTCGATTGGCATTTGTTCAATACTCCGCGTGCCATCTTAATAGTATTTTCCTTGTTTGTACAACATAGAACACTTGTTTTATGAAATTTTTTTTCTGCAGTTATATAGATGTATTTGTTTTGAGCTTCATATTGAATATTACCTATCTGTAAGCTGTTTGTCTTGGGAAGGGGTTATTTACTGCTAGGTCCTGCAGAGCCAATTAGAGCAGGGATGGTGTTCTCAGATGCCACACTTAGTACATAAACTGTCCCCTGACTCGTCCTACACTTTCCATTTCTAAAAGAAAGTTAAGGAAATTAAGTCTTAAGTAGCTAAGGGAAAAATCCCAAAATACCAATGAGTAGAAAAATTAGTATTAACAGACACGGTGGCAAAGGGACAAAGAGGTCCACATAATCCTAAGTAACACCAAGGGAAGAAATAAGTTCAACTAGAGATATCATGTCCTCATAGGATGGACTTGGGCAAGATGTGGCTGACTGTGGCACGTAGGTGTTCTGCTGGACCAGGCGAGGAGATGAGGCCTACTCTTGAGCCCGTGGGAGAATAAAGAGTAGGAGCCAAGGTCTTGACAGAGTTTTGGCATCTTAAACCCAGAATGTCTTGTTCAGCAAGCCAACTGGACTTGCTCTTTTCTAGACTGTGGCTGACAACCTGCATCTTTCCCCCTCTTATCTGCACAGGGCTTTCTAGTTTTCACCCGAGGACAGGGCTCTCTTTTCACCCCAAACAAACTGCCAGCCCACGGCATAGAACCTGCGGTAAGCCGCCTTTACTCTGCCTCCAAGTTAGGGACGATCTACCAGTCACCTTCTGTCGCCTTCTCCAGTTATCGGCAAAAATAATCAGGGCGCAGCCTTTCCAATTACAGTTCTAGAGAAAAAGACATATTTGTAATTACAAGGAAATGTCCAGTTTTCTAAGTGTTTATGGGCAAAAGGAGACAGGAGAATCCAGTTTTGCTGCTTTTTCATGGACCTTTCTGCCAGAACTTTAATGGGGAAGTCGTTCGGAGACCACGGAAGGGAAGGAGAATCAAACTGCTCAATTTCCAAGAGCAGGCGAGGGCAATGGCTCTGTGGGGGAATTCCTTAAGCTGTTTTGAGATCTTCTAGAACTATGAGGAGAGGCAGAGAAGGCAAAAGGAGGCCCTGCCAGCATCCCCAGGAAAGGCTTCACCTGGCAGAAGCCATCACTGCTTGCTAATATTTTTCTCTTTATCTACACAGAAATAGAAACAGAATTTGTTTTGCAAAGTCCTGGGGGGGGGGAACACCTATAATTGCGGCTAGAGCTTAACAATTTTATAGTGGACAAGATCACACTGTCCACTTCCCTGAGTAAGGAAGGGTAGCAGCATTCAATCCCACTAGTGTAGGAGGAGCCAGATCTACTAGTAACCTTGTTCAACCAAGAGGGAGTGATGGAGAAAAACATTCCAGAACTTTTGCCAACTCAAAACCATCTTGACCATAAAGAATTAAACCAAATATAATAAAGTAGGGAAGTCAGCATTTCTAGAATAAATATTTTACTTTAACTCTTATTCAGTTAGCAAGTTAACAACCCATTATTCTGCAATGAGAATCCCTTTTCCTCACTGAAGAAGACACACACAATCTTAAGGCGACGTGATTTTGCTTTATTGAATATAACACCACTCAGTATTTATAGCTGTGAAGCAATCATAAGGCCACCGCGTATGGTGCTCTTTAAAATGTCACTCTTAACTCATTCAATCCCCCAATCACTTATATTAACACCATAGGTAATTTGCAGCTCATCGGCCAATATCCATGATAGTTCATTTCATAAAATTATATGTAAGCAGAAAGAAGTCTAAGGAAATATAAAAAAAAAAATTCAGAAAAATAGTCCACATCTAGTCATAATCTTCCAGGTTTTCTGTAAAAGAAACCAGTAACAATTATAAGCATTCTTAGTTCCATGCATACTTACTTTATTTAATAACACATTTAAGTTTCAACACAGAAAAGCGATTTTATTCTTTTATCACGTTATTGGCATAAGCTAACATACTGTGCTTAGATTTAAAATCAAGTGCACTGACCAAATTTAATGCCAACAAAAATTATTTTAAAGTATTCTAAAACTAGCAGTAAGCCATGTGGCCACGTTTCCTTGACTCTCCTGCACACGTCCCATGGAGAGACTCCCCTAGAGAGTAGGAAGATCTCCAACCAGCCCTAAGGACCACTGACCACAGAAACCCACTACTTTCACAGGTATTAAGAGGCATCAGAAATACAGTTTCTATACCTGCACGACTGTGTGGCCAGCACCTCTATTGACACCTGTAATAATAGTATCAAAACACAGCTATGAAACTGTGGCGATTGTGGAAACAGAGTGACAAAAGGGGATATTATGTTTATAAATGCTTTCTCTGATCTTCTACAAGCTAGCTCTGAAACCCACTAACAGAATTTAAGAGTTGAATCATTCTGTATTGTAACAGGAAAAGGCTGTTGCCACCACGCCAAAATCATTTTCCTTTTATCTTCTGAAAAAAATCTTGGTTCCTCAAAATGCATTATTACTACTTTCTGGATAACTAAGATATTAAAATATAAGGCCTCCAACCTTATCTCCTCATTCTGGAACACGTTAAAAGCAGGGTGTCAGTGTTGGCAACGTCCATATTAAAAACCTGAAAACCAAATCATTCTTAACAATATTCTTTTATTTTCCTAGAACAGCACTGCTGACAGGCTCGATAAGTCCAACTTAGAAAACACTATGAATAAATACAATCTCTCATCCAATATTTATAAGACTTTCGAAAGCTGGGTGTGGTGGCACAGGCCTGTGAATCCAGCATTTGGGAGGCAGAGGCAGAGGCAGGATGATAGTAGACCTCAGGCCAGCCAGATTGACAATTAGATCTTGTTTCAAAACCAAACAAACAAGCTCTCCCTCCCACCAATGAAGGCATTCACTTGTCAAAAAAAGATTCTGGAAATAGCAACAATGCTGGGTATTTGTTCTTTTGTTTTGTTTATTTCTTAGTAAAAATTTCTCTACACTAAATAGGCTTCCTCTTAAAAATATGTTTTCTAGATCACATTAAGATAAATTCTGAATGCCCTTTAACATATTATAAACAACTAGTGCCCGAGTCAGTGATCTGTGAGAAGTCCCTTTCAAGCAACAGAAATCATGCTTCTTCTACACAGGCCATTTTAAAAGGCTGGAACAATACAATGTGAAGGGGAAAGCAGGAACAAGAGTAGGAGAGTGTATTTGACTGTTTAATACCAGCACACTGGGTACCCTCTATAAATCCTAACACTCTCCATACATTTCCATTGGGTGTAAACATGCTAGCAGAAGTTTCAGCATTTTTATGACATAAACACTTTGTTCTGAAGATTACTGTTTACCAGAGTACAAGACACAGGTGGCAGTTGATCCTGTGCAAATGCCATTAGCACACACCAACAAGTGGGCAGCACCTACCTCTGTGGTCAATAGTTGATCATCTTGCGAAGAGCATCATAGCACTTCCATTTGTCTGGGATATAAAACGGCTCAAAGATGTGAGGAAATGGGGTGTCATATCCACATACCCGAGATATCGGAGCCTCTAAGTTCAAGAAACATTCCTCCTATAGAGAAGGACCGAAATGGGTGACTTTAACATGTTTCCATTCACAGAAATAAAACATTTCCATTTAAAATAACTTGACTATTTAAAGCACAATTACAGCTAGAGATATCGAAATGTCTAAGTCTATTGTTACTTAAAAGCAAGTATGAGTAGCATGTTGGCATGATCCCAACTTTCCTTGAAATGCTTTTGTATATGCGTGTGCCGCTATAGCCACATATATCTATCACCAGCACCAAGGTAGGATCATGTCAATCATACTCCAGTGAGTATAAATGTAAAGCAAGACAACACAGCAAATTCTCATAACACTTAACCCTACCCTTGAAATTAGTGATGATGTATGCTTTCTCATGTTTCCTGTATTTTTGTTTAAATTTATAAAATGATGACATATTGCTTTCATAAATTCATGTCTGGGGTTCTGCTGTGCACCAACTGTCTATCAAGGTACCTGACTGTCTATTGCTCTTATCACCAGGCTTCTGAAGATGCTGCTGGCCCGTGGCTAGCCCAAGTCCACTGCATGACTGGTAGGTGCTGACCTCTCAGATGTTACCTTTGAGACTCCTCACTGGGGCAGCCTCCTTTTACTACATCTCACTGCACACACAAGTGACAGAGGGACATCTGCTCTGAGCACCCAAGGTGATGACATAAACCTGACCCATGGCAGTAGCCAGCTTTTTTGTCTTTGGTAGAGACCATAAGCTCCATAAGGGCAAACATCTAGTTCAGAACATAAAATCTAAATTTCAGTAGAACAAACAGTGCACAAAATTATTCTTAGGGGAACTGTTATACAAGTTTTTTTAAAAAATCAAGTTTGAATAAAACTTTAAAGATAGATGATAGAAGATGTAACGAAACTACTCTGAAGAAAATATCATTAAGTTTACAAAAGCCATTATCTGAAATAAAACCTTGGATTTAAATTAAAATATTCACACACTGCCTTGCTTCCCATAGGATCAATTGGAGTCTAAATATTCTTATATTTCATAGTGTTTCTAATTATCATTTCAATGAATATTTTATATGAGGAATACCATATTCAATTTGTATCCATCATGGAAACTACTATTGTTAGTATAAATGTAATGGGGGCAGAGAAGACATGCAAATCAGGTAAGCAAACTTCAAAGAGAGCCAGCTGGACGTGTACATCTCTCTCCGTGGTCCCATTAGCCACAACGACTAGCAGTATCAAATGCCAAACCAGTGTTAACTTCCCAGCAACAGGAATCTCCACGAACAACCACAGAACTTCACCACAAAGGCTTACGAGCCATCTTGGAGGTCCACTGATAACCACCAAACCAGGACAATAAACAGGGCCGACGGTCCTCCGCTGTCCTCAGTGTAACAAGGAATTTTAAAGAGCTTTAGATTGTCAGTTTGGGATGAACTCAGTTTTATTTCGAGGACTCCGGCTGTTTTTCCCATCTTCCTTGAGTGCTGCATTCTTCATAAACAAATTAGCCGAGGACACAGCGTGGTACAGAAAATGGCAAACAAACCAGGTCACTAAGTGCCTTTGATTTTACCACTGTTGTCACCAGTGACTTGGAAAGCCAACCGACCTCAGAGTCACCTGTCAGTGCCGTTAACATGACTCCCTTTGGCACACAGACAGCAGCACACTTGACTGTTGTCAAGCAGCACTACCGCTAACTCGAGAGTGTGATCTGTTTCTAGGAAGTCATCTGCAGGTGTGCGCTAGCACAGAAAGAAACCAGCTACCACCTAGTCGTGCCTGAACTATAAAGAGTGCTACCCTCTGGGGCTGGGAACAGCAAGGAGGGAAAATACTTCACTCTGTACTCTCTAAGGTTTATTTCAGGCTTTATGAGACATCGCTGACTCTGTCATCAAGTGACAATGAAAAAAAAGAGTAAATAATCCATTTCCGTCTGAATAAAAGGCCTCCTTTGGGATTTCAGAAATTTATGATTTTAAGCATAGCTTTTCCTCACCTCAGAAGCCATGACTGTAGATTAAACAAAATGGAATTAAATGATTAGATGCATAAAACTGCATTCTCCAAATCATGGATGAGAGCTGAAGGACGTTGAACAGAAGACTACATGGAGCTCTCAGTGTAAATTAGCATGTGCCCTAGAGAGGTGATCCAGTTTGAAATTCTAACTTTCGGCTAAACGAAAGACACTAACCAAGAACCTTTAGTTATTTCTTCCACAGACTTCAAGTGGAAAGTATTGTAAAGCAATTGGGAATAAGATGTCTGGATCAATCTAGCAGCTGTACTGGTGCCCAGTGAACTGGCTTATATGCAAATTACCTATACCATGACGCTCCTTTAAACTCCATCCAAACAGCACAGCCTTGCTCAGCACCATGCTTTTCATAAAGCTATACACACATACTGACAGACTGAGACAGACAGACACAAGTACACACACTTTGGAAAAGAAATGCCTGAATCTCGTGATCAGATGTATAGGCTAATGTATGAAACTAATTCAAAACATCTCTCTTCATTATAACCATACAGATAACACCATGTGTGCTAAACTTGCAGGACAATCTAAGTTAATTACATTTATCTGTTCTATTGGCAACGTAAGTATAATAGTTTGTTTTTGTTTTATTTTACTCTATTTTGGTTTGGGTTTTTTTTTTTGTTTTTTTGTTTTTGTTTTTGTTTTTGTTTTTTGAGACAGGGTCTCACTAGGCAACCCAAGCTGGCCTTGAACTAACTCACTAATATAGACCAGGCTGACCTTGAACTCTTGTCAGTTCTACTGTGTCAACCCTGAATATTGAGATTATAGGTATGAGATGCAAGCCCAGATTAAGCACATACATCTTTAAAAATTGTATTTGCCGACATTTAATTCAGAAATAGTAAGTGCAAAGAATGAGAAATCGAGTAATGACCTAGCCCACGGGGCTATAAAGAAGATTATATGTGATGTCTAGGGTAGGGCAAGGGCTGGCCTTAATCAGTACTTTGTCTTTCTCCCCAGAAACAGCAGCATGCATGGACTTGCATCCTGTTCCAACATGGTCACCATGTAACAAGGGTCAATAATGAATCCACATAAGAACCACAAGAGGCTTTCCTCAGGCCATTTGGGGTCCAGTGAGAAGGATGAAGTCATACGGTGACAGCTGCATACTGTTTGCTCATGGTGAGTCCTTCCAGCAGACCTGAACTCCAAAATGAAATGCGAATTTGCTTCTGAACCTGCTTTTCCAACTGTGAGTTTTTCCCCCTAAAATATGCTAATAATAACAGCGACAGTGTTCCCATTGTGCCAGGCTCTGCGCTCCACGAGTGCTGCCATTTTATCTCCTTTTTATTCCATTTCCTGAGTGAGGAGACTGTCCGAGGTCGAACACTGACTCCACAGGCATGGAACATCCACGCGCCGATGCAAAGTCTGTGGTCTCCGTCCTTCCTCGTCAGACTCAGATTTATTACTTTTAATTTTTTTTATTAAAAATTGCATGATTTTGGAGGGGAGGATTCTCATGCCACAGAGTGTACATGGAGTTCTGAGAACAACTTTTAGGAGTCAGTTTTCTCCTCCCTGGGTTCTGGGAACTGAACTCGGGTCATCCGGCTGATATGGCAAGTGCCTTTATCTGCTGAGCCGTCTCATCAGCCCTATATGTATGAATTTTGAAAATAGCAACAATAAGAGAAAACATGAACTAGGAATGCCTTTTAAAAAGGTAAAGTGGAAGGCAGGTTGGGCTATCACAGTTTTACAAAGGAGTACTGAATGGGACAGGGTGTTAGGGACAGTCTTGGAAGTCTCTACCCCATCATGAGAAGGGTGAAGGCCACGGAACATGTGAACAAAATGGAGGCAAGAAACAGATGTCCTGGGATTGGAAACCTCTGAGCTATCCTAAGAGATCTGAGCAAGCACAGCTCCAGTTGTGTACATATTAGCCATCTGGATTGCTCACCACAGCCAGGAAGGGAAGCAAGGCACTATATAATAAATCACTAAAATCATGGACACAGGCAAATACATCTTCATTTGCCTGATTCCTATAATATAAAATACACATTGATTTCCTTGTTTTGCTTTTGGAAAACAAACGTCATGAGATCAGAAGAGACAGAGATTCTTCAAATTTTTAAGCAGGTAAGAGGGAATAATTATAAATTCATGGAATTGGGTCCATTATAGTTTAAGATAAAGGAAATATTACTAAGGTTTTAGCTATCTTGAGTTTTTATGTCTGTATTTTGCTAGATGTAACTTTAACTACTTAAGTGTGTCCCCTAAAAGGTCACACATTGGAAACTTCCTTAGTTCCTATGTCAGTGGTATTTGGACACAGACAATTGGTATGTAGACTAGGGTTAGATGAGGTCATGAAGATAACACCATCATGGCCCCCATGAGAGCAGCAGTGGTTTTAGAAAAAGAAGAGCATAGCACTCTTGCTAAGTCTAGTCATGATGTCTTCCAAGATGTTATGTCATAATATGGCCCTCAACAGATGCCAAAACAATGCAATTAGACTTTCCAGCCTCCAGAAACAAGAGCCACTTTATCTATTCCTATAAATTACCCAGTCTCAGGTATTTTATTACAGCAACAGAAAACAGATTGAGGTAGTAATAAATACTATAAAATATATATACTTGCATAAATGCATGTTAGGGCTTTCATGGAATCCCTCAAGACCTCACAATATATAATGTCATTTTCCTCTATTAAAAAATTAAGTTCATTGGCAACTAATTCTCCTGTCTCACTGAAAAGATTATGCAGGCATTCGAGAACACTGTGGCTACTTCAGCAGCCCTCAGCAAATCTTCATGTTGTTTTTATGGTAGGGTTGCATAACATAATTGGCACAGCAAGGAATCTGGAATTGTATACGAGGAGAATCTTTATTCTGGTATGATTTAATCTTTCCAAGTCTCCATAAGCAACAGCAAAATTAAAATACTTTGTATTTTGCATTATTGTAGTTTTCTACCATTCTGTAACTCATTTACCTCTTTAG